TTGAGGCGCGCGATTATGAGCCGTTGCGGCAACGAGCGCTTAGCGGAGCGGGAGATATCCGTTTGGATTTTCACCGGGCTGCAAATGTGTAAACGGTTTTAATTCTTCCATTGCTTCCTTTTCGCAGTCTCTCACAGTGTATGGGGGAAAATTGTTCTGATGTTACTTGTTATAGCTTCACAAAACTCATATATCGGTCCTAAGATAACTGAAAGCAATTTTCTGTTTCAATAAATAATAAATAAAGGCTTCTTTGTATCTCGGTTTCTCTGTAATTGACCTATTTTAATCCAATTGAAATCTCCACGAATGCGTTTATTTACATGTTTCAGTAAACACATTTTTGATGACTAGGCATTCAGCAACCCGGCGGGCAAGCGCCTGATATTAGATTCAGAAAATACCAGCTTGTCAATGTGTCTACATTTTAAAATATTTTCTAAAAGTTTTCATTTCTCAAAACTTTAAATGCAGCGTTTTTTTGGCGGTGACAAGTTGAAGCGAAGTGTTAACGAGTTTACTCACCTGTGGTTCGCCCACTGCTGAATATGTTATCAATAAATGTAGCTACATATTATACGCCAACTTTCAACGTCTCTCCTTAAGAATGAGCTCCTTCTTTAGAATTGCCATTGTTATTTAGATACCTTTTTTAGGGTTCCGTAGTCCTGTCAAGGAACCCTTATAGTTTCGATATGTCTGTCTGTCCGAGGTTTTGCTTGGAAACGATCGTTACTTTTTTATTGTTCGTGTAACTGTTTGGTCACTGCGTCTAATTTGTCAAATTATTCTTCATTGCCAAAAGTACCCTGTGTCCCTACTAGTCTTGTTATTTATTCAAAGTAAAGCGGCTAAAAACATCGTTTTACGGAGCGAACAAAGCCTGGTTGAAATGTTTAAAATAACGCGTTAAAACAATTGTAAAAACGGTTGCGAGTGGCTTAGCGAGTTCAGCGTAGTGTTATCAACCTCTGAACCCGTTCCCGAATCGGAAAAGTGAATATTATTCCATTCGAAAAAGTTTTCATCCTCTTATCGGACGAGGCGGTTTTTGCGAAGTATATTGCATTATCATAAAAATAAAATAAAACATTACTCGCAGTTCCACAAATTCATTAAAGGCCTTACACGCGGTGTTTTATTAAAGATAATTCTCTTTACGTAATTACGTAATGCATGTTTTTTAAAATAAAACAATATATTCTACTGCCCGCCTCAAAATAAAACTAATGCCATGGCTCGATCCAGTGGATATATGCTCTATCCATAATGGTATTAGTTACTTATTATCTAGGGTCTATGGATAGTAAGTGGTTATGCTAATAGCAAATGATTTTCAGTAATCGGCTTTAATTTTCACCCACCATTAATTTGTCACGCAGGCTTACTGTCGTGATACAAAGTAATTTACCATGCCGTTAGTTTGACTGAGTCGTTTCATTGAATCCCAGTTTATACCCGGACGGTGGCAATTGGACCGGACGTCCGTTGATGCGGAAGTGACGCGTGGGAGGCCTGGGAGGCCGCTGCGATGCAAATGGGATACGACTGGTCGCATCTGATGAACTGATTCACTTCGCCTGATGTTCGATGCAGAATTTCTGTAGTAGGTTATTGGGTATAATGAGAGTTTTCGCGGATGAAAAATCCGTCAGATGGCAATACGTAGAAATCGCTCATGCATCCAAATGCTGCATGTTTGACATGACATTGACAGATTATGTCAAAATCCACCAATCACGCAGCAGTCAGACCCCACATCCACGTCCCGCCATCTAGCGGAACTTTCATTTGCGAAAATCCTCATTGATATGAAACAAATATTATTTGGGTCAGTTGACTTTGAAAAACAAAACCACAACATACAAGTGACATGGAGCTCTAAAGCGGAACATCTCATGAAAAGTATCATATTATTATTTCCATCTCGTCTAGTGGTGTCCAATCCTCAATATCACTCGAAATTGCACTGACAAATCTCTCACTAACGACAAAATAGATTTCCGCTGTAACTAATAATTATATTACTCTCGATGCCGACTCGATGCGAATTCAGACGTGACAGCCTGAAAAATAGAATTAAACCGTGAAAAATGCTGCAACACCTTTCATGGGTCATTGCACTGTCGCGACGCGGGGATGTAGCAACAAACTGCGTTGCCATGGCGACCGCAGACATACGCGAAGAACATCTATGGGGGAGGAATGGGGTAAGGTGCGCCGAGACCTGCACGTGTCTTCCTAGGGTACCTTAATCGCAACATCCTCCGGCGCGTGTAATATCCAAGCAATAAACAAAGTACTTCACATATTTAATATACATTTTTCCAATATGAGTCGCAGATGACACAGATTTTTACACGCTCGTGTGAGTTGTAGAATCGCAACTGCATGTAACTAATCTAGGCATTCGCGCGAAGATATCTCCTATGTGGAACTCCAATATTACACTTCGAATTTCTAGCAGAATTAAATTTTCTATTATATTTATTTTAGAATAAATGTTGAATCGAAATTTAGCCTTTGTCTGGCGAAGTTTCCACCAATATAATATTGGAGGCATTTCAGCCTTTCATTTTTAATGAAATGGCATGAAGCAACTTCAGTAAAAATATGCTGAGAATACTGAAATCTCAATAGGCTTTTGTAATTACAACTTGAAACAAACAAATTGTTGGGCTTCAATCCATAAAATATTATCTTAACTCTTAATGTTGATAGTTTATCTACATTTAATGTAGCTCAAAGTTGGGATGATTTTGTTGTTAACGATAACAAAACTTTAGAGCAGCTGAACTTGGGTGCTCTTTTTGGCAACAACAACATATTTTAAAGTATTTAAAGATGTTTATCTATTTAAGTACTAGGTTATTAAATCATCGTGGTTTTATACTTAAACTATATGACCACGTTGATTTAATAACGAGGTGTCGATTCAGCTCAGGCTCGTGGTCTATTGTTGTTCATCTAATAGAGTGCTTATCGGGTCACAGTGCAGCGCGCCACATGTAGGTCACGGCTAATCTTCCCGTGGCCCGCTGTTGCTGGGAGGGCCAGCCAGCGTGTATTAACGCGGGCCACCGCACGGGCACTATACCATTTCAGTAACCTTATTGCTCTCTTGTTACGTTTCCCAGAATCGTGTTATCGGACTATGCCTGCTGACCGCTGGAATATAATATTATTTGAATAGCATGTCCATATTATTTGAAATTCAATCACGTATGATATGTACTCAGATTGTATGTGTAATTAAAATAGCGCAAAAGCTCAAAATTAATTTGATGTAGTCCGTAATTAATTAATTATTTTCGTGAATCTGAAATGTACATTTTGATTTTAAATGTACATTTATGATCGTACGGTCGTAGTTCTACGACTCAAGCTGGAACGTGTTTTTCACTTAGGTTATTATGAACCGTATTAGTGTTGAGCTCAACTGGTGTTAATAAGAGGCGGGGGCGTATCAAGTGCACGTGAACTTGATCTCGTTAGGATGGAGCATGTGAAAAGCTTTATAAACCTGAACTATTTTCATTTTCCATTAGAGCTTTGAAGCGTGCTCTCTTCCTCGAGGGTTGTTGCTCTAATGTTAACCCAATCAGTGAAGGTCGCAGGTCAGCAGGAAGCAAGTTCACAGGGCGGGCTGTAACTGCATTACCCGTGACATTGCGGCAAGACAAAGAAGGCCGCGTGTTGTGGGACCCTCTGGCATTCAACCCCGGATGCACTTCCCGAGGTCTTTATATTTTTATTCTTCTGCCTTGATACAATTACGGCGCAGAGTTACATAGGCACACAGATGCCCTTTTTGAACACGCGCAACTGTGTGATGTATTTGATGTCACGTATACTTTGGACGTTAGCTTTGTAAAAACTTGTAATCCACAAAAAGGTAAAAAAAGAAATAAATATCGTTACAAAATGTCAATCACAAAATAATACAAAAAATACCTACCGGGATGGATATAGTGGGCTGAATTTTTTTCCTCATTTTCTACGGCCAATTAAGGCAGGTGTAGTAGGTACCTACTACACCTGCCTTTATTATTGCATTATTATTGCCTGCATTATTATTTCAATCCGGAAGTAGCTACAGATGTCGCAAATTTTTCCTTTAATTAACGCGGTCCGGTGGAGAGCCAAGAAGGAGGCAGGAAAAGAGTCCTTTCTTTAATCAGTATTTTATATATTATTTTGTATTTACTTAATTATATTAATTAATTCAAATATTAATATAGCAGTGGACGTCCTATGGCTGAGATGATGCTGATGATGAATTAAAATACTATTTGGCAAATGGTTCACTATCTATTATTGATTTTTTTTTCATTGACACAGGATTTCACTCAAACCCTCAAGGGTGGAAATGGGAGTCGATAGATGTGGGGAAACTAACATACGTGCACAAATGGAAACGCTCACAAATAACACTAAATTAAAACAATAACAATTTTAGTTTGAAGTAGGCCAACATTATTATAATGTAACACTGGTAACACACGTGATATAACACATTCTTTAATTAAATACAGTTTCAGAGAAATAACTACATCTGAATTACGTACCATATAATGGTAAAACAGTTTTGGTGCTCACTTCTAAAAGAGTTATTCAGAGTTTATTAATTTTAACATGCTAATTTACATTATTTTAACTCATTTAAAAATGTTTTAGTAGTAGAATGTGTTTCTTTAATTGACACATGTTCAAGTTGTATCTTCCTGCACATTTATGTACCATTAAAGGCTGTTGAAACATTGTTAAACAAATAAAATAAAAATAAAATAAATTATTTTAAATATGTAATACATTGTAGTAATTATCCTTACATTAATAAATGTAACAAATTAACAAAATTAAACATTCTTACAAAATCAAAACATTTTAGTTAAGACCACCAAACTACGATCTATAGAACGAATCACAACGCATAGAACGTTTAGATTGTAAGCTACCCTTTTCAAACCATTTCATCACCTTACCTTGGTTGTCCCCAGGACGCTACCGGGCGAACCGGAGAGCTGGCTCCCGTAGAGAAGGGCACCATCCACACCAAGCGGCACAGCGGCGAGGACCCTGCCAAGGCCACGTGAGTATACCTGGATGCTAATTTATTTAGATCAACAAAGCTACACTTACAAGAAAAACTACAACATAGATGTCGATAAGCATTGATGATGACTGCGTGCTGTAAGAGCCTAATCACACGATGCTGCGCTACTCGCTGCGTCGTCTTACATAGAAACATCTGTGGCGGCCACACGAGCGGTGCGATGCCGAAATCGTTGCAGTGCGGCGCCACAACGCATCGTGTGCTTTGGCTCTAAGGACCCGTGCTAAAAGAGTCACAACAGCTTAACCAATCATCTATATATATAAAAGAAAGTCGTGTTAGTTACTCCACTTATAACTCAAGAACGGCTGAACCGATTTAGCTGAAAATTGTCAGGGAGGTAGTTTAGAGCCAGGAGAAGGACATAGGATACTTTTTATCCCGTTCGAAATAAAAAAAAGGTCTGCTTATTTATTGCCATTAAGGCGGAACAAAGTTCGCCGGGTCAGCTAGTTTATAATAGATACTTATACAGATTGTTGTTGAATAAGGATCCTATTTGCAGGAGCAATCTGATTTTCATTCGATGCTCCTCGTCGCAATGCATCACAATCACACATGTTATCGGAAATGATAATATGGTACGAATCTATACATCAGAGGTTGAACTGTCTCGGTGATCTTATCATCAAAGATGTCATCACTTAGAACACAGACAATCCGATACTTGTGTAGGTCCCAAGACGATTACTTTGATTAATTAACCTCGATTGAGAATTTCCATTGCATCGATATCCTAGACTTCAGTAATAAAACGCTTCTCAATAAACCTCGTCTATCGATTTCGGGTGGAAAAAGTTCTCGCAGCCTAGATCGTAAGCTTCTAGCAACGTCTATTTTAATAAAGTTTTAAAGGAGATCGGTGTCGATCATTTAGTTTTCACTTACCATTCCGTCTTCAACTAGGCTCTCCACTGCACTTCGTCTATTAGTATCGGAGTCGAGGTTCTTTTCAGCTGTGAAACTACTATTTCTTATTTGGAAAATCCAAATTTGGTTCATAATTTCTAAGTCTAGATTCAAGTGTGTGAAGAAATAGAAATGAAGTGCGTTAATTCATAAACGCTTTCTGTTATGATCACAGATTTCTTTACATCTTTTTATGCTTTATGAATATTGAACTGTATGTGGGTGAAATCCTCTTCAAAATATCTCAACATGACTGCTATTCAACACAAAGCCAAAATCAATAGTTATCGAAGTCAGATGCCGTGGGTTGAGAAATTATGAATATCTTTTACAAAAAATATTATTTCACAACACATTTGAAACCCTCTTGAAAGCCCACATTGCGCTTTTCCAAGGTGAGGTTACGACTTAACCTTTTAATTTTTGGTAACAGAAATAGCCTGGGAGTATAATTAAACATATTTTACAAGATTTTATTTTCGTCGCGCGCACCTCTCGGGCTTCGAACGGGTTAAAACTTTGCAATAAGAGAGAGGCGTCACGTAACCTATCATATTTTTAATTTTAACTCTTAAATGAAAAGATTTAAAAAAATCTACTTTTTTACCTGCCTTTACTCGTAACTGAAATAATGTCTATTTTAAACACTTGTAATATCCGAACCATGCACGTTATGAAATATTAACAGCGAGCTACTTCTGTTATTAATTCAGACGGACTACCGTCGCTAATGAAAGTACGAGTAGTTTATTTTATCTGAACACTGCGCTTTTCGATACATGTAGTGTACAAAGATTAAACATTATTTATTTCCATTTTTTTACTAAAATTCTCTTCTAGTTGAGGCTAGTTGCCGTGCCCTACAGGGCTCATACCCCCTTACCCCTTATTACAAAAAGTTAGACTCAGTTTGAACTCTGGTTTAAATTGATATTTAGTATGGAAATGTCATTTTAAACTTTTTTGTAATAAGGCCCACAATGTTTTGATTTTAAGTACATAGTTTTTGCAATAAAATGTTGAGTATTGAAATTAATATCCACTTAGCGTTCACGCAATATAAAAAAAAATATTTTTCAGATCAAACAGTCATTGCTTTTGCCGGTTAGTTACAATTAGTAAAATATGCCAGCCAGTGATTTCATTTTACCCTAAATATGCGTGTGTCACTCTACCCAATTTAGCCAGCATGCCCACCTAATGTACAAAGAGCAAATACCCGGTAATCAACCCCATAGTCCCAGGGCTCGCTGCACATCACTCATCGCTCGCCATTGTTTGCAGAATCAAAGGTTTATTATATTAAGCGCATCTCGCCCGTCCCTTTGAGCTATTTGGTATTGCGCGCCTTTGCTTTTCTCGCTGCATCGAGGAAACGCTGTAAAAAACGCGTACCTTAATCCCTGCCCAGGTGGGGACACTGGTAATATCAATCAATTAGCAACTCTCTCGGACGTTCATAGGGCGCAGTCTGCTGTACACTAGATAATTTGACTTCAAACATAAAAGCATATTTGAAACTGAATTAAAAAGCGCAGACTACAATCAGCCAAATATCAACGTGGATCAGGTATTGTAATATAGTCTAATCTCGCGTTGAGACGACGTATCTAATGTTGAAACCGCCGCCGACAGTTGGTTAAGCCGCAGACAGTTAAGTTGGATCTATGTCAAGTAAGTTTATTTTAATGCACTAGACTGGGGCACTTAGAAGATGGAGCCGAATATAGCTATCGGCTCGTCTGAGCCCACTAAGCCTTGAACTTCAGGTCGCTAATACAATAAGACAGTTTACCGCAGCCCCTATTCTTGGAGGTTTGAAAATACGTCACGTTTACCGTCGTCGTTCGTACTTGGATTTCAGTTTTAATCAACAAACCCATCACGACCTATACCAAAGTGGTTGTGACATAAATTATTTTTCTATTTTAGTGTTTACATGTAATCGAATTTTTATAATTAGGTAAGGCCTCAAGCCTGTCACATCTTTAATTTCCCACCCTTCGTCCGCACGCCTGTTTATTATATCAAAGCTATTCAAGAGACCAATATCACTATGATCGTTGCTGTCCAGGTTTTTAGTGTAGTATATTTTAATTGAGCTAGCACTACTCTGCTTCCATCGACTCTATTGAAATATCCACCCTGAATAATTGATGTTGTGCAGTCTGAAATGGAATTTACGTATTTTAAGGGTTAATCAAATTCTAAAATTAGTTCCTAATATTGAATCCGGCGGGTATTAAAATAATCCGGCGGGCATTCGGCGCGCCGGAATGTCTGCCAGGTATGCGCTGCGGTAATGACACGCCCGTCACTAAACAATCGCAGGCGCCCCGCCAGCGCTTCATTAACCGGGCTCTGTGCGTTAAAACACGACAGATACATAAATACACTGAATCTAAACTATAATTAGTGGGCAGAAATCTTTAAATATGACATTGGTACAACGAAATAGAGACATTATTTAGTTTACTTTCGACATTTACAAGACTTATGCCTCTTAATTTTATCTTTAAATAGATATTAGACCTTTTCAACCCAGAACTAGTTAGCAAATCATTATTTCCTTAGCATTATTTGATTACAGTACTATAATGTCTGGGCTGTACCCAAATATTCAGTTTATTGATAATTTAACTCTGGAGCTTTATGCCCGTTTCACCATCAATCCCTAATTTTTAAATGACCTCTATGGTAACAAATACAGGAATTTTGATGCCATATGTGTCACTTGAAAATTAGGGATTGATGGTGAAAACGGGCATTAGACCTCTATTGGACACAGTTTCATGTAAATGAAAGGTCTTTACTTGTGTGGAAGACGATTTCCATGCGTACGGTATTTCGGGCACAGCAATTGATATTAAGAAACTAGCAAACCGTGCGAGGCCGTCGGGTCACTCGTCATGTTAATACGGAGGGATCGGGCATGTCTCGCTGAGCTCGCCCATTCACGCCTTTGGGCGCCACCTAGCGGCGCATTGTTCGCGCCCTACATTATTTAATAAATTACCACAAACTGTTGTAGAACTACCCATTCATAAATTCAAAGCACATATTAAAAGTACCTTAATGAAAAAGGGCTACTATAAAGTCGATGATTATTTAAAAGATAAAAATGTTTGGGATGCGTAACTGCCTAGCTCGTATAAATATTTATAACTATGTATTTTGAAAACCTCTAAACCTTTGAAAAAGAGGCTGACAATGGTGTCTGAGTTTCTTGCGCTGCTTCTTCTCAACATTGGCCCATTTATTGTCCTGAAGCAGTGGTAGGGTTAATACTGGGACGTGTAAAAGTGCTTTTTTAAAGCCTACTTACAGAAATAAATGAGTTTTACTGAGTTTTTTTTTTACCTCTCTGCTGTCCTTTGACGGAATTATTCATTTCCCGCCGCGTGCAGTCGCGCCGGCTAAATACACCGGACACCTGAAAGCAGATAGCTACTTATTAGATCGGAATTTTCATATTAAATTCTTGCTGTATGTTTCATTTCGGTTCGTCGCGCTAATCTGCTGTGCGTTTGTCCGACAGCGGTTGAAATTTTTTCTGTATGAACGAACACCCACCACCCTTCCCATTTCAAATTCTGAATTTAACTTTATTAGGCTCTATAGAGATAATAAAATATCTTTCTTTGGACAATCTCACACAGCGCTATCTATCCCCAAAGTAAGCAATTAATATGCTTGTGTTATGGGTGCTAGCTTAACGGATATACTACTTATATACTTTTTTTAAATACATACATATTATACATAGTAACACCCAGACCCGTCACAGAAATTAAAATTCATCATTTCAATTTCTGCCCGGCCGGGAATCAAACCCGGGACCTCTCGGCATAGTAGTCCGTTCTGAACCACTCCACCAAACGACCGACTAATAATTGATTCTTCGCCATGATTATTTTTAGATAATACATATTATAATATTGCCTGTAATTTATATTAGTAGATGCTGCGTAGATATTAAAAATTAACAAGGCCTTCATAAAAAGCCCCCCAGAAGAATTCTATACAGATGAAAAAAAGTCATGTAAATCGCAAGCTTAGCTTTAAAT